TGCAGTTTTAAACAAGAAACTTATGACAAGGCTACAAGAGTCAAAGTTTGATGTGGTTCTTGCAGATGCCATTACTCCCTGCGGTGAGCTGCTGGCTGAGATACTTAAAACACCCCTTGTGTACAGTCTCCGCTTGTCTCCTGGCTACCAATATGAAAAGCATGGTGGAGGACTTCTATTCCCTCCTTCCTATGTACCTGTACTTATGTCAGAATTAAGTGATCAAATGGCATTCATGGAGAGGGTAAAAAATATGATATATGTGCTTTATTTTGACTTTTGGTTCCAAACATTGAATGTGAAGGAGTGGGATCAGTTCTACAGTGAGGTATTAGGTAAGCCATGTTTTTAATTTGTGATTGTTAATTCCTATCTTTCCTCATCCCTTGGAAAGGGAGCTTTTATTACTATGAATCAGATGAGTGTATGTTTTGAAAATGTAATTATGAAATAAAAATATAAGATAATATATCAATTTCACAAATATTATGGAAAAATTATGAGATCAGTTAGAACCTCTGGCCACCATTTCTATATTACATCCACAAAGTCATAAATGTGCAAATTACAGAACTTAGTATTTCTTTAAGCAATATAGTATCTACTTTATTACACATTTTCTTTATCCCTAATAAAAGTTAATGGACACAGCAAGAAACATCTTGATGAAGGCAGACATGTAGATTGAGGAGTTACACATTGTTCTAGCACAACTATTAATGTAGCATTGAGGGAGTTATTTCTCCTTGTGTACCTTCATTTCCTTATTTAGAAATTAAAATATTTTTTCTATAGAACCAAAAGAATTCCTTCACAGTTGAGGGACAGGTCTGTCTCAGAAACAAACAAGTAAAATCTGAGGTTTCCAAGGTTTCTAAGTTCCTTCACTAAGGGCTTGGAGGTTATCTGTTTTAAAGACAAAAATCTTACTGATGTGTGAACATCCAAGTTTGTGTCTACATTTTATTAAATTATATGTCTAAGTTAAGTGGAATATGAGCCACCTGAAGTGGTAACAAATTCTATACATTCCTACAATTTAAAAAGAATTCTAGCTTCCATGTGTAAATATTATATATTTATTCTTAATAATATTAATAATATCTTCCCATGAATCCAAAGAAGTAGTACCTAAAAGGATTTCAACCACATTTTCAGAAAAACTCTTTTATATACTAGAAGAACCAAGGATCATCAGACTACCATCATAAATTTTTGAAAGTGTATTCAGTACTTATTACAATGAAGTTTATGGGTTTTGTAGCATTCATTGATAGCAGAGCTCAAATAAATGCATATTTGTGAGTACAGCAGCTCTAGAAAATAAGCAACTGCATGGGTAATTCCAGAGTGGCTTATATTAGTACTTACTGATGCTTGTGAATATACTGATGTGATCTTAGAGACATAATCTCCTTTAAAAATTCTCTTTGCTGTTCTTATACAAACCTATGAGCAACATATATGGTCCATGGGAATTAAATCATGCCTATAGATCAATATGTGTATGAGTTTGTTTTATTAAAGCACAAACACTTTATATATCTTTGGCTACATTATTCCAACTCCTTTCAGGAAATTACTTTTATATTCTCAAAACAATTCTCTTGTGTCATCTATGTTTTCTTTTCTTTCTTCTTTTCAGGCAAAACCACTACATTATATGAGACAATGAAGAAAGCTGATATGTGGCTTATTCGAAACTATTGGGATTTTAATTTTCCTCGCCCATTCTTACCAAATTTTGATTTCGTTGGCGGACTCCACTGCAAACCTGCCAAACCCCTGCCTAAGGTGAACATGTTCCTATTTGTTTAGTTTTGTTCATTTATTGTAAGAGTTGAGGCTCTTCACTATTGTTCTAGCTTAAAAGGAAGACCGTTCCTCACCAATGTTAAGGTGTCCTGAAAATGTTGACAGCAAAACTTAATGTTTACTTGTTTCACTCCAGCATTGAAACCATT